TAAAATATACAAGAATTATTATTTATAAATGTGATCAATGATTTCTTGAAACTTCTGGACCTTGGATTTCCAGAAATTTCCGGATCGCGGTTAGCGAAAAATCCGGAAATCCAGATTTTTTCAGCAGCACAATCACCTCTAGGCCCTACACCGAGAGGAATCCCTTCCCCAACTCTTCATCTACTCAGATTCAACGAAAACTCAATCGTCGTAATTTCAAATAGCGAGACAAGCGGTTTTCTAGAAGCGAATAAAAGGAGGGTTCCCACTCTTTCAACAAAGCAAAAATTAAGCACTTTTAAGGACTTTTTTTGAAAAATTAAGGACTTTAAAAATACAGTCGGACTTCTATTTAACGAACTTCCATTTTACGAATTTCTCTATTTTGCGAATTTTTTCGTGGAACCAAGAACGTTTTGGAAATTTCTTTGTTAAATAACTCCTAAATAGCGAAGTGAATTTTATATTCAACGAATTTTTTTTTAGATCTACTTTCCCCATTCCCCAAAATATTTGAGAAAATTATTAACTTGTTAACGCATTTCATGGGGGAAATGACCTTGAACTGATTTTCGCATCCCCTTAACTTTTAGAGAAAGCAGTAAAATTCCTTTCCCTTTTTGTTTGCATTCTATACAGGAAATGCAACGTCACTAGAAAAGGGGGGAAAGGGTCAAATTCCTTGAATAGGAAAGCAGAGAAGATAAAATGAATGGGTCATCAAAGTGTGTGGTCCCTGGTCCCTTATTGACATGTCCTATTATCCCCACCCCCACTGTTCACTTCCTTTCTAGAAAAACTTTCAATGTTCACTCAGTAGAGCCCCGTTCTCGAAATCGCCTCGTTTTTAGATTGCTGATCAGAGTGCTGCTTGTTGCTTTTCTTGCGGCTGCAAAATGTCGAAGCGAAAGTGCCTGACTATTAAAGAAAAAAATTTTATTCTTTAAGAAGTGGATAGGTGTAAAAAAAAAGATATTGCATCAAAATTTGGTATTCCTTCAAGCAGCTTATCAACGATAATAAGAAACCGTGATAAGATTGAAAACAATGATTTACCAAGTCCTTGTTCAAAACGTTTGAAAACATGTGTCTATGAAGATGTGAATGAGGCAGTTTTGAAGTGGATACACAAATGCGAGATAAAAACATGCCGATCTCTGGACCTTTAATAACCGAGAAAGCAATGCAATTTGCAAAGGCATTGGGACACGATGAATTTCGAGGAAGTAGTGGATGGCTTGAGTTTAAAAGAAAACAAGGAATTGTAGGAAAAGTTATGTCTGGTGAAAGTAATGACGTCAGTGATAAGGACTGTGAAAGTTGGATTGCAGAGACTCTTAATAAAATTTTAAAAAATAATAAGCCAGAAAACATTTTTAATGCTGATGAGACAGCTTTATTTTTTCAATGTTTGCCTCAAAAGACCCTAACATTTAAAAATGAAAAATGCTTTGGAGGAAAACACAGCAAAGCAAGAATAACTATCATGCGAGGGGCAAATATGACTGGCAATCAAAAATTAAAGCCCTTAATTATCGGAAAGAGCAAAACTCCAAGATGTATTAAGAGCACAAAATCTTTGGAGGTTGATTATGAATTCAACAAAAAATCACGGATGACGGCCGACATTTGTGAAAAATGGATTCAAAAGTTGGACAAACTTATGATTGTAGAGCATCGCAAAATTGCTCTAATTTTCGACAATTGCCCTGCCCACCCGAAGGATATCAACAAAAAACTGAAAAACATTTCAGTTTTTTACTTGCCTCCAAACACTACATCGAAGCTACAACCAATGGATCAAGGGGGGATTCAAAACTTTAAACTGCACTACCGCAAAAGAATGGTATGAAAAGTTATCGCTGCGCTTGAATATAAGCAATCAATGCCAAAGATCAATTTGCGAGAAAGCATAACAAAAATTTCCAAAGCATGGAACTATGATGTTACAGATCGTACCATTCGTAACAGTTTTGCTAAAGCTGGATTCTTTGTCAATGCTGAGAATTTGGAAAGTGAGGACGAGGATGATATTCCTTTAGAGGAACTTAAAAAAATGTGGGTACAGCTAAGAGAAAACCACGAAATTAATGATGTACGGATAAATGATTTTCTTTCTATTGCTTCTGAAGCTGAAACCACCGAAACATTAACTGAATCAGATATTTTGGACTTTGTGAAAAATAAAAACAATACAGCTATAAATTGTGAGGAAGACGAAGACGGAAATAATGAAGAAATTAGCAAACCTTCATATGATGAAATGTTAAAATCATTTGAAACAATTCGACGTGGATTGCAGTTTGAGGAGAATACGCCTGAAGGAATTTTTGGTGCATTACAAAAATGCGAGACATATTATGAGAAAAAAACACTTTTACAAACAAAAAACTCAGACAAAATTAACAGACTTTATCAATAGTAATTAAAATTAAGAATGCATGTGAAAATTTATGTTTAAAATTACATTTATAATAAATGCAGCAATAATTTTAATATATAAAAATTTAGCATTTTTATTCAGGGAAAAATATATGTAGCATGATAGTATAACACACTGGATAATGTTTTGTTCTATTCTTACTTTCATTGCAGATTTCTATTATGGGTAAGATTTATAAAATAATTAATTGATAATAATTTACAAGATAAAGATGTATCAATTGCAATTTTAATTATTTCTAGTATCCGTGAATTTAAAACCTATTCTACGTTGTGTAAGTATTTCGAAAGATGATTTTCTATTTAACGAATTTTCCATATAACGAACTTTTTTTTCGGGATTTAGCGACTTCGTTAAATAGAGGTCCGACTGTAGTATAATTTTTTAATCACAGAATATACATACGCCTCCATTGACAGTGCAAATTATTTACCTTATCAATAAATAAAAAAAGAAAAAACAATTTACTATGTAAGCACTGATATAATTTTTAGATTGTTAAAAGTTAATGTCATTCAGATTGTAGAAGTTTATGTATGAAACTAATCTGTATTCCATTTTTAATGATTTCATTAAAATTGAATAGTAAAATTGTGCAGAAATTAAGATTTGCAAATTTTTTTATGCATATTAAAAAAAAAAGTAAATAAAGAAATTTGTCTAAAACATTGAAGAAATTATTTCAACAAGTTTCTATATTTCCCTACTAGACCAGCAAATGTGTTATTACTTTGATGAACTAAAAGAAAATCTTTTCCAGTCAAACCAGTTATTAGGAATTAACTTAGTTTGATGTAACTAGTGTACACTTTGGCAAAAAACATGAAATAATTTTACTGCAACCAAAAATTTGAACTAAAATTAAACAGTACATTAAGTTGCAACGTTAACTGAATAAAATGACAGAATCGTGGCGACACTGCTACATAAATTTTCTTTTCTGCAGAAAGTTTCGAAAGATTTAATCTTTTCTTCAGAATTATATTCAAAAGATGCTATTGTTGGGCAGGGAAGTGGAAAAACTTTTCTATTCTCATTAGAGAATTATGAAGTAAAAATTTTGTTTTTCTGCAGAAAATTTTGTTTCAATTTTTTTAGCAGTTATTGCTATTGATTTCCACACAGTTTTTAAAATCTGAATCTTGAAATGAAAACACGTAACCCACTTATTATGGAGTTCAATTTGCATAATTTCTCACTATTTTCTGTTTTTACGGTCGATGAAGACTTACAAAAAAAGAAGGGGGAATCATTACATATTCAGTTCAAGATTTTTCTTCTTTTTATGTTCACGTTTTTGTTACTTTAAATTAGTAACATGCATATTTGTTATAATTAAAAGTATATAGGGGTTTGTCACAGAAAACCCTAAAACATTCTGACACAGGGATGACTATTAAAATCTAAGGATCTTTTGGTTGAGTAGATTTAAATTTTTATGCAACAATCTGCTTATCCTTAAGAAATAAAAATAATAACCTAACAATCTAAAACTTTAAAAAAAATTTACATTGCAATAAAACAAATTATAAATAGTTACCAAATATTTAACTTTCTTGTTAGAAACAAATCATGCTTTCTTATTTAGTACTCAGGAAGAAAAAAAAATTAGTATTTTTGAAAAATAAAACTTGGTTTTCATCAAAAACCCAATAAACCCCAGGTTTTGGATGAAAAATCTAGGTGGGCAGGGATTTTTCAAACCCTGTTTCTTACAAATCTGGTAAATTTTTAGTACAATCATGAATTTCAAAAATAATTTTATGCTTTCTGTAAATTTACAGTCACTTATACACATTGAAATATTACAAATTTATTTAATTCAAGATTTTTGGAAATAGTTTTAGTTATGGATTCTAGTTCAAAATTTTTTCTGATACTACTTTTCTTAGTCTTTTACTTAATTCCTATAAGCAGATTCATTATTACTAGCACTGAATTTCGTGAATTCAGTCGATTTTGAAAGGTAGTGTGGGTCTTCTATCTGGTACATTACCCCAAATAAAACACTATCTCTTCCATGTGCAGTATTACCCTGGTCTACACACTATTCTTTTTCTTTTAGAATGCTTTGTGGGGAGAGTAGTTACAGACCATGTCAACCTTCATCTATGAAAAGGTACCCCGACATAGAGTCGAGTTAACATGTCTTATATACTAGTGAAATGCAGTTGTAATTTTGTAGTGGTAGATACGCTACAGCTTCATTCTCCTCATAGAGTATCAGTCTAGGCAGAATATTATTAAAAAAAGGACATGCTTTTTTTTTCCCTCTCACACACATCCCCCTATAAAGCTCTACCCTTAATGCAGAGTTGAATTTTAGATGATATATGAACGACTTTTTATTTTAAAATATTCAACTGAAAAATCATTCCTATCAACTATAATGATACTGAAAAATTAAGGACTTTTAAAAACCTTGCACCAAAATTAAGTACTTTTAAGGGCTCATATTAAAAATTAAGCAGTTTTTAAGGACTTTTAAGGAACCCTGTAAAGACACTAGATGCATTTCAGAGAAAACAAAATAAAAAATTTTAAAAAAGAAGCTCACCATTAGGATTTAAAGTACATTTAGACATCACTGACTTCTTCTGAATATAATCAAACAAAGCAAATCCATGAGCAGTACCAGCAGCCACACTGCAACAAAAATTATTCACTTCATAAATAATTGAGAGCAAAATTACAATATATTATTACGCTGCCAGCTCATTGGTGTCTGTGAACCAGGATGAAATCCCACAGGGAAAAAAAAACTTTTTAAAAATAAATTTAACCCGTCAAAGTATAGTGTTCAATAAATTCATTACTTTCCTCATAATGATAAATTCATAAATGTCTGGGAATCTGGGGGATGTCTGGGGATATGAGCTGTCATTTTTATTCTCACGAAATATAAAACATGCAATTTACCATAGATTCAATAAGTCTCTTATTTATATATATATTTATATACACACATACATATATATATACTAGAGGGCTCCGCCCCCTGCTCGCCAACCCCCGAAAACTACTACGCAAATACATTTTTGCTCGCTTCACGAACAAAATTAAAATCGTTTTCCTGGAGATTAGCTGGCAATTTTTCTGCACCAACATCACATAGAGAGAATATAATAGGATTGTAATATGTCAGAGGTCCTTGTTATCAGCATTATAAACTTATATAAAGCAATTTTAATACAAACAATAATATAAACTTATATAAAGCGAGGAAGAAATATTATTTAACAAATTACTATAGGGCATTAGCCGGAGATTAATCTCAGTATTCGAAGCACACATGGCAGAGTCTAACTCGGGTTAACTATATTTGAGGGTGCCCCTTGATTCTCACGCAGTTGTAATCGCGGTTGATCACCAAGCTGGGCGATGATGAAACCCAATCATGATTCTGATTGGTTTAGATTTCAGCGTTATTTTTAAATGTTCAACGGTATATGTGATTTCAGAGGTTCCTTAGTTCTAAGTTGGATACCGGCTGTTAAGGTTACCTTTTCTTCAGGTCAATAAGATCGAAGGTATGTGGATAGCCATAAAAAGGGACTTTAGAAAAAAATGTCATCGCCAGTCCGGTACCACAGACCCCATTTTTGATTTGTAGTTCGTCAAATTTACGTGGCGATGGAGGTACACAGATTCTATTCATGATAAATTTAGACAGTATCTAACTGCTATTAGATAATTCGGTGCGCCAAAATCTGAGGATATTCACGCTTAAAGAAGTGAGTTGTTTTCTTTCCTTTTCTTTCTATGCTTACTTCATTAATTTTTGTTTCCATTCGAAATGCATTTTATTGGGTTTATTAATTTTGCTCATATCGGGTCCATTGCAATTTTACAAAGTTTTGGCCGATGTTTTGATGAAATTTTCCAATGTTTTATTTAAATATCATTATATTTTGGCAGCCATTCCTGTTACCACGGTGTTCCGCGCAAACAGAAATGGTGCCAAACGTAAGTTGCCAATTTCGCCAAGGGGCACACTCAAGAATATTTTTTACCCCTAACTCAAATCATTGTTGATCTTATAGGATACCGGATGCTCCCTATATGGTGCTTCAGCCACGAAGTATGCATATTGAGCGTTCAAATTTGTATTATATTTTACTTTTGTACCCAAGTAATAATTCACCTTGAAATACAAAACGTAGAAGAAATTCGTTACAAATTAAACACATTTATAATATACCAGGGATGAGATTAGCCAAAAGGCAAAAGAGCTGAATTTCCACGGTAGTAAATTTTACTCAAGCGCAACCCTTTAATAATAAATTCCAGACAGTTTAAGGAAATAAATAATGTGTTGACATACAATTGTGTACTAATCTATTATTATATAAATGATTACAGTGATACTTAACATTTAGTGAAAATAAAAATTACCAATTGAAAAAATAAAGCTGGAAATTATATTTTTCCTCAGTTCACATAAGAGACAATTATTACTTGAAAAACTACCTGGTTTAGCAAATTAAAACTACTGAGAATATACATTAATATTTCATTTCTTTTAATAAATACTGTTATGTGATTTATAGCAAATATATCAGTAATATTACTTTTTAAATTATATTGGAAAAAAAAACTTTAACAATGGACCGAATCATTATGTTCATATTATAGTCTAATCTAACTAGAGCCCTCTGAAACATATCAATAACAGTGAAGTAGAAATATATTGTATCTCCTTAACATAAAAAAATTGCTATTTCAGTTTGAAAAATTACATGACAGTCAGCAACTGTTTAGATAATTGTTTTTCATTTGATAAGAATTTTGCATTTTATAGCATAAATAACAGCAATTATAAATAAAATTTTGATGATGAGTTAATTAACTCTTTTTCCAAAAAAAAATTCATTAATTAAATTCCTTTATACGTGATTGCTTTTGTTTGCTATATCTTTTATGTTTGCTATATTCAGTCGTTAGTCCATCTTCAAACATCTTGTGACAAATCCTATTTTTTCTTCTTTGCAAGCACAGAATGTAAGTTTTGAATATATTCCCTTCCAGTTTCTCTGATGTTGTAACACTTACATATACTAATAATCGTCGTTAGAAAAACAGTCACCTTTATAGTAACTAATTTTAAAAAATTACTTCTTACAAGCATCACGATAGTTGATCTTAAAATTGCGTGAATATGAATAACAATTATGGATTTTGAAATCACATGAATAGGAAACTAGATATACGATTTTGAAAATGAGAAAATACAAACTGGGATCTAGAATTTTTAAAACGAGTAAATACAAATCACGATTCATAATTTTTAGATAGCGTAAATACGAATCATAATGCGTAATTTTTAGATTGCATAAATAAGAATTATGATGCATAATTTTTAGAGTGCGTGAATGCGAATCCCAATGCCTTATTTTAAAATCACGTATAAATACGAAAATCGATGTTTGATATTATAAACCGCATGAGCAAATCAAGACATTGAATTTTAAACTTAAGTGAATACGAATCGCTACATAGGTTTTTAAAAAGGCGTAAATACGAATCACAATATCGGATTTTTAAATCTCGTAAATAAGAATCGTAGCGTACAAAATTCAAATCGCATGAATAAGAATCGCAACACGCAAATATGAAAATCTATGTTTGATATTAAAATCGTATGAATAAGAATCGAGATATTAGCAGATTCCAGGCTTGGGACCTCTAAAAGGTTTGTCAGAAGCAGCGTCGTTTGAGCTACAAAAATCGGATTTATCTGGAGGGCGGGTAAAAATTCGGAAAATCTTATCTGCTGCGTGTAAAAGGGGAGAAAATAGCTAAAATAAGTAAAAATGAGAAAGGATTGGTAGCTATGTAGTTTGAATTTTCTGTTTCTCTTTGAAAATTGGTGAATTTTCTGAAAAAGCGGAATACTTATTAAAAAAAAAAAGTGAAATTTTTAGGAAATCTGAATTTTTGATTTAAAAAAAAAGGCTGAAATTCAAGAGATGAAAGTGAAAAACGCGGAAATCCGCTAAAAAGCGTAAAAATCTCATCCCTGATATACTTATAATGGTATTAATCCAATATGTTGTTGCGTTATGTTGTTGTTATATGTTGTTTTTGTTATGTTAATCTGTAATCTGTTGACTAGTAAAAAATCAGATACAAGGAGAAGAGAAGTGTAAATTTCTTCCCGAAGAAGTCCCGAGCAGCTATAAATATGTTCAGCTGAAGCCCGATGTTGGTGGCATTTTGGGTAAAGAGGGTAGGATTTTTATGCCGCGAGAAAAAGGAAGACATTTTAGATATTCACTGGCAAGGCGTGAAAGGCTTGAATTGGTTTTTCGGTCGCATGGAAGAATCTACGATTATCCCGGCTTACTGGTCCTATACCAATCGTGAATGGGAGACAAATCCGCATATTTAAGTTTTTCATGGGAGAAAAAAGTTCTAGGTAGATTAATCCAATGATGTATTAGTCAGTGGTAGTTTGAAGAAGATGGATGTGGTTTCCAAATAGTATTACACTAGGAATGTCTATATAGGGTGGTCGTACGTAAGGGGGATCCTGTGGATGCTGTCTAAATACAACACTTACAACAAAACGGTTAAATCCTTAGAGAATGTGATATATGCTTGTCCCGCAGTATCAATTTTTTTACACCATGAGCTTATGTTATAATAATGATTTTTATTAAAAGGATTATTGGATAATGTAACAGATTTGAAAATTCTGTATAAACTAAAATATGAAATTAGTTATTTTTTAAAACAGGTGTGAATTTTCAACTTTCAAGTACCATATTAAATTTTTAACTTGTTTAAATTTAAACTAATCACATAATAATCATTGCAAAAGAATTTTATTTGCTTTTGTGTTTTTTTTTTTAAGTTTCACCTATTTTTTTCCATTTTGACCAGCTAGCTTAGGAGTGCCGAACACGATAGCGCGTCACCAACGATGAAATTAACAAGCAAAATAAAATTTTCGATCACTATTAGGGGGAAAAAATGACAATATTTAGTTGTTCCCCAAAATCAGCACAAATTCGAGATTTTTCGTTTAGATTTCAAAGGCGGAAAATGAAGTCTGAAATTGAGAATCTGTTATAAATGCAGCAGAAATGCACATGAGGAGGCAAAAACCCCTCCCACTGAATCCAGCTCAGTTTACGCACATGCAGATCCACATCAAACATATAAAACGATAAGAATTGTCATACGCTATGACCGAGGGTACGTAGATATAGATTTAGGGTTGAATTAATAGTGAAAATGTTGAATAGAACAATTTGAACTATGTCTTTTTGCATAATTCTAGGCAAAAATCAACAAGATAAAGGAAAAATCTCATATTGGAAAAGGGAAAATTAAGCACTTTAAAAACACCCAAAGAAAAAACAAAAATCATAAATAAGCACCTTTAAGCACTTTTTAAAAATGCTACGCACTTTGTAAAATATAACACTGTTTCATGAGTAAAAAATTGTTTAGCACCAAGCAATTTAGTTGCCACGGCACTAAATTTGTTAATACATAAATTTGTTTACTTTTTTGCAGGTTAAGTTAAGAGTTATTTTTATATTATATTATATCCATCGTTGAACAGCCGACCCCATTTCGGGTTTGCGGCTACTAATATTCAACTCCGTAGCCTTGTAATTTTGAAACAATCCAGAAGACAAAGAAACTCCTGGATCAGTACCCCCAGAGGTATTGATTTGTAACACGGGCTTTGCGACTCGACAGATTTAACATGCATCAGTCACCATACAGAGTTTTTGACCGGGATCGAACTCATGAACTCTTGGACGTGGGCCCCATTGCCTTACCAACCAGTCTATCCCAGCAGCAATAGAATAATAGCAGTACAATGATAAAAATTATTTTCAGCAAGTTAAACATAGTTTAAAATTAAAGAACTCCTAGGGTTGCCACAGTAAAAAATGAACAAAAATAGTTGCTTTTAGTAGCCTCAAGCATGAAAATTGTTGCCTAAAACTATGAAAATAGTTGCCTGAACAGGAACAAAAATTTATCAAAAATGACTAAAATTATAGCATAATTGTCAAATACTATTATTAGAACTGGGTGATGTCAGAAATTTTAAATTGTGATACATCGTCAGTTAAACATCACGATATAGTGACGTATCGCAATTTAGCATATGTTCAAAAATTACCTATGGGAAATCTTTAAATCAATCAAAAATAAATAAAAAGGAATAAACTTAGTACAAAAGAAAATATTAATTCTAAACACATTCTACTATGACATCAATATCATTGCTTAATTTCTTTCAATTAAATAAAGAAGTCAAAGTAAAAGCAAACCCAAGCTTTATTTCATTTTTTTTCATGTTTAAAAATAATTAATAGCGTAACAAATTATTTCACATACATGCATTAAAAATTAAAAGAAAAAAAAAGAAAGTGGAAAACAAACCAAAGAAATGTTCACTTTAGAAAAAAAAAATTTATTATTTGTTTAAAAAAACAACATGCTTTTGAAACATCATTAGACCCTTTTCGATTTACTTATTTAAAATAATAAAAAGTAGTATTAACTAATGGTCAAATTCTGTACTTAATAAATGTAAAAATATTTTTACTTATCTATAATTATTTTCATTTTTGAAAATAAAATTGACTAAAGATATATCTGTTTAAAAATGATACTGACTAACTATCAAACAAATTATAAAACAAACAAGTATTGAAAGAATTTTAATTAATAAAAATTTTTAAAAAAATACTTAAAGTACTAATGTTAAATTATTAAAAACGTCAAAACATTACTAAACTTTTTATTTGATTAAAAAAAAAATTTGTTTTAACTAATAGCCAAAATTTTTTTAAACTTTTTTTTCATTTTCTTAAAAATAAAAGCAAATTAAATAAAGGTAAGTTTTGTTTTAATTTTTTATAATTAAAAACGACTGAGCATTTATTGGTTGAAAAACAATCAAATTATTATACTTAACTACATTTAATACATTTAAAAAAACTAACTTTTTATAACAAAGTTAAATACAAAATACCCCTATTAAATTGTATCGCTTAAAATAAAAAACAATAATTGAAAAAAATCGATGATTTGATCTATTGAGTTCAGAACGAAAATTTAAGATAACAGCGATTGTGCAGCAATCGCAAAGTAACAGTAGGACTACTAAAAATAATTGACAAGAATCGTTAAGCCCAGACAGAAAAAATGGTATGAAATAATGCAGAACAAAATGATCGCTGCAAAAGTCTCACTGAAAATAATTTACATGAAACCAGACAATTATTTCCGACGAAATAAAATGCACAGCAATTGCAAAATGACTTAAGTCCCATTTGAAAATAATCTTCAAAAAACGCAAAATCCCAAAGACAAGAATGGACATAAAGAAACTATGCATTGCGTTATATATTACAAAGCTGATCCTTGCACGAAACCGGGAGTTCCGATTCAATTTGCTCTTCCTCACTCAACATCACGAAACTAACATCTTAATAGCAAAACGCTATCTACATCTCTGCAGCTAGACGAAATCAAAATAGACTTCGTTAGTGCGGTAACAGCATTATCCTAGTCACGGATCCTGGCATATTAAATTGTTAAACCGCAATTGTAATCTAATTCCAGCAGCTTAAATCAGATTTCTGATGCATCGCCTAAAACGGAAGTCACTACATCTGCCTATTGATATATGCGTTAAATCAATATCTCGTGATACATTGCGTTAAATCAATATCTCGTGATACATCGATTTATCGCCCGTCCTAACTATGCTCCAATTAAAAGAAAGTTTTGTAAAAATATAAAAAGGTATACATATTAGAAAATAGGTACCTAAATAAAAGTCGAATTACAATAAAATATGAATGCTAATAGAAGGAAAAAACAATTAAAAATAACAAAACTACCCCTCAGAGAGAACAACTTTAGAACTCAGAGAGAAGTACTTTATTAAATCCGATGGAAATTTAAATTTTTGGCTCTTTGGACATAAATGATTGTATAAATGTTTGCTTACTTTTATTAACATTCTGAAAAGTAACATTTATTTTTGCGAAAAAAACTTCGCCAAGAGTAAAAAAAATCTCCCAATTCCTGAAAATAGTTGCTTTTTTGCCTTTTCAGGCAAAAAAAAAGAAAATAGTAGCATTTTAGTAGCCTGTGGCAAAAAGAAAAATTTATTGGAAGAGAGTATTTTCATGATACTTACAGGCCCCATTCTGTGTGAACTGATATGGCAGTTACAGCTGCAGGAGGAGTGAGCTGCTCAATGCAGAAGGGCACAAATCCAGGTTCAAATTTAAGATTTCCTGTCTTCAAGGACAACTGGTCATGACCCTTCCACACAAAGTTGTCTCTGTCACTCACAATGTTCACAGAAAATGCCTAAAATTAACCATTTAATGTTAAATGCATGTTGTAAAGTTTAGAGCATTCAATGCACATTATCAGGGGTCTGTCTAGATTTTTTTTAGAGAGGAACCTATTTTGTGAAAATTATATTAAAAAATAAACGCAAGAAAATATTTTCAAAAATAGTCACTACAAATAAAAATTATTTAGGACTGGTAAATTTTTATATATTTTTCCTCAAATAAGAAAAAATAATTTCAGTATTGTAAAATTTTGGCCTTAAAAATGTATCCAAATTTAAAAATCCATAAAAATCATTGTCCATGGTTGAGTTAAAACTTGAATTTAATAAAAACATGCATTTGACAGCACTATCACTAAAAATTATTTTTATTAAGAGAACATTTTCGACTAGTTGATACAGAAAAAAGTTTCACAGAGAAAAATATTTCATAAAAAATATAGGTCTGTATGAATAAATTCACAATGGTAAGATATTGTTCGAATGGTTAGAATAATGTATGACTTCCTGTAAAGTTTATAGAAGGAGACCATCGTCGTTTCATCTTAAAAAAAGCTCGCTTTGATATGGCGTAAACGACCTGTTAAACTTACCACAAAGAGCTATCTGTCCAAACACTTGCTACCTTTTCGTAAAAGAAAGCTGGCGTAAAAGACAGCATTTTCATAGATTGCAACGAGAACGGGGTTCGCATGAGAACTTGATTCTCTAAAAGTATATTGTTAAAACTACCGCTTTTTCTAAACTTGAATTTGTTAAAGTACCGCTAAAAGGTAGTAAATTTACCCTGGACAGACCCTTGATAATAGAATATTATAAGAATACTTCAAGCTCTTGTTCTGTGGATTCTTCTTTCAGTTCAAAAAACACTATCTGTCCAGCTGTTCCAGCAACTACAAGCGTCTTGCTATGGACACACAGGAGGATCTTTTTCACTGCAAGCCTGGGATCATCACTATAAGGATCGAAACTTCCAACCTGCAATTATAAATCAGTTATTGACACCTGCCTACTTAGGATAACGCACATCTTACTAAAGACATTTTTTGATACATCATGCATAATCCTGTAATTCAAAATTGGAAATAATAAAAGTACTTACATTTAGCGAAGTAAAAAATATGCATATAAACAGGGTATTTGCTACATTTTAGATTTTCCGATTCATGACTTTCCACGACTAATTCCAAGAATTTTTCATGACTTAACAAAGTTACTATATTCTCTGACAAAAACACAATAAATTTAAAAAAGGAGTCTAATAACATTAATTGAAATGATAGGCATAACTAAAACTGTTATACTTTGCATCTTCATATCTATTGATTTAAAAGACAGTAAAGCAAGAGTTGAAGCAATAAAAAGCTTAAAAAATACAAAAGCAATTTTTTTATTTTTTTCTTCAGAATTATTTCTACATATACTTTTCTTTTTCATTTCTCATGTTTTCTTTCTGTTCTCATTTCGGAATAAAAAAAGTGTTGTATCATCCCTATTTTGTAGTAATGATTCACTTTCTTTGCCAGTCTATAAGACATCCCTGAAGATGATCCATAGACATGTCATCACAAATTTGATTTACACCCCCGCTTTGTAAAGAGAAAGCTCACCCGTTTTGTAGACCTGTTCGCAAAGCAGGGTTCGTGATTTTTTGTTATTTAAATCGGATTTTTTGTTTTTATTCAAATACACTGTAAGAACTTTGATGATGATAACAGTTTAACGAGGTTCAATGTTGCACACTTCTGATCAATGTGATCATTCACCTGCTCACTGACTACGGCCATAGCTGCAAACTTGTTCAATACAAAAATAGGAACACAAAGTATGATAAGTTAATCAAGGGAAATTAGGACACAATGCGAAAAACAAAATATCAAAACATAAAATATTGATATAAAAATATCAATTTATAAACCGCACATTTAATATTTAATATAATTTTTTGAGCCAACAGTTTTGATTCAATTACTTACTAATAAAGAATAGCACACCTTTATAATAACTAATTCAAGTATTAAACTTACTTCTAACATGAATCACAATATTGGATTTTAAAATGGTGTGAATATGAATCGTGATATATTTGGGCTTAAAAAAGAAGGAAAAAAATTTTCAATATTGAATTTTTAAATCGCATAAATACGAATCATGATGCATAATTTTAAATTTGCGTGAATACGAATCACAGCACGCAACTTTTAAATACCAAAATCGATTATCGATATTACAGGGTTGCCACTCAAATCTGGAAAAAAAATTCCCTGCGTTTTCCCTGTACATGTTATACGCAATATATTAAGAGGAAACAACAATTACTGTGCTCTTGTGTGAGCTATATTGGACTAACTATATTTATTAGTTTCAATTGCTGGAAAAACAGCTGAACATACTTAAATAATACTCAGACGTGCCAACCTAGCAAAATTAACATTCAGGAGTTTCCCTAACAAGAATTCAGGAGATTTCAGGAGGGGTAAAAAAAGGTGCTTATTTTTTTTAAAATAAAAACGCGATTTTTAATTAAAGCAGGTGTGATTCCACATCAAGAAAAACTTGCGAATGATACCGCACTTCCAAGGAATCAGAATTTATTCAAAAGAAAAACATTTTATTTTTATTAATCGATGTCAAATAGATAAATATATTTTTCTCTTTCATCTTCTGTTCACTGATATGCATGTGCAATGCATTTTCCCCACCCCCTCGTAAATCAAACAGCAAACGAAATCATCATGCCACTCCTTTGAGTTTAACGACCTAAAAGAGAATAAAGATCTAAAATCTTCAAGGTCGCGGAAGAAATGACGTTTCTCTGGGTAAACGGGGAAAAAAATTCTTCCCTTCCTCACATTTTCCTCTACTCAACTTCAAGGATTAGTCCAGTTTCCGCTTTTTTTTT